GTGGCTTAGGATATCCACTAGAATATATTTATTATTTGTCTGCATGTAGTAGATGTATTTCCAACCCCAACATTTTATTATTAAATTTAATGGGAAGAATTTACAGGTAACATTCATATTCTACAATCTAGAGTCTATAATTAATTTATCTCATATTTGCTTATTACACATCTGTCCATCTTTCCAAGCTTTCATCAAGCCATTAATTTGTTTTTATTCATTTTGAAATTACAGTAATCAGTATACTTCATTGCTAAACTTTTCAGTGTAGATTTTACTATCTAGAGCTCAATATTTTTTTATGGTTTGTTTCCTCTAATTTCTGTAGCAAAATCTAAATACAGTGAAATACATGTCATAAATGCTGTCTTAGTTGTGTTTTGAAAAATATATACACCTGTGTATCAAAGAAATATAAAGTTATATTTTGAAAAGTGTGTACACATGTGTAACTAACCCACTATAAAGTACCTCAGAAAATTTCCTCACAACACTTCATAGACAACCAACAACTCTCTACCCCCAATCTAAGGCAATAACTGATTTTTTTTCACCATCTGTTAATTCTGTTCTAGAAATCATGGAATGGAATCTTGGATTACCTGCTCCTGACTTCTTTCGTTCTCTTTCATTCATGTTGTGTGTATCTTTGATTGTTCTTTGTATTGTTGGATAGATTTCCATAGTGTGAATACACTTCAGGATTCTTTTACTGAACACATGAGCTCTGCTCAGTTTGGGACTATATGAATAAAATTGCTATGAACATATGCATTCATATCTCTTGAGCACACAAGAATAGAATATCTGGGAAAGGTCTGATGTCGCTCCCCCATTCGCAGAGGAACGACACCGGACCCTGCGCTGTTCTCTTTGCCCGGCCCTTCCCGGGTTAGCTGCCATTCCCTCACTTGCAGAGGAACGACGCCATCCCCGGTTAGTTGCTGCCCCCCCTCCCCGCCTCCGCAGAGGAGCAGGCCGGCTCTCTCAGGGGCTGCTCAGATGTTCCTCAGATGTTTCCCGGTGCATATTGTTTCTCTCCTCCTTTATAGTCCTCTTCCACCAATCCCAACTCTGCTACCCACACACCAAGCACGCTGCTCTCCTCCAATCAGGAGCAGTATCAGTTCCTGCAGCTTATCAGTCAAACTGGTGAGGCAGCTGTGTGGAAGTTGTTTACTCCTTCTCAGCGCCATATGCTGGGAGATCAGATGCATAGAATTAGTCCTAGCAGTTCCAGTAATTTAGTCTAGTCTCGGTTGCTCCCCACAGTCTGACAATCTCACATTCTCCCAGCATAAAATTTTAGTTTGTATTATCTTGATGACTATTGATTTTGAGAAGTTTTATAAATTTATTATTTATTTGTAAATTTCCATTGTGGAATGGTGAAAGATCTTTTTTGGATTTTTCCCATTTTTAATGAAGAATACAAGGATGGGAATATAATTATGTTCTTAAAATTATATCTACAAACCACACTGAATTTGCTAAAAGATAATTAAAAATTAAAATTAAAAAAAAAATCTTTGGATTAGAGTTATATTTGGTTATTAAAGTTACTACCTGGGGTTTTATCCCAATATTTTTGTTAATTGCTAACCTTTTATAGCCAAAAATATACCCTGTTTAAAACCAATTAAAGTAATAACAACAAAAATATGTGTAGGTATTTATAAGTTACAATGTGACATTTAAATACAAAATACCAGGGATGGCTCTGTGGCATAGCAGGTATAGCTGCCACCTGCAGTGCCAGCATCCCATATGGGCGCCATTTGGAGTCACGGCTACTCAACTTCCAATCCAGCTCTCTATTATGACCTAGGAAAGCAGCAGAGGATGTCCCAAGACCTTGGGCCCCTTCACCTGCGTGGGAGGCCATGAGGAAGCTCCTGGCTTGGGATTGGCATAGCTCTGGCTATTGCGAACATCTAGGGGATTAAACAGTGGATGGAAGACCTCTCTATCTCTCTCTACCTCTGCCTATCTGTAACTCTGCCCTATCAAATAAATAAATAAATCTTTAAAAAAATGAAGTGTTGAAGTCCCCCATTATTGTATTGGAGCCTATGTCTCCCTTTAGATCCATTAACATTGCTTTTAAATATCCAGATGCCCTGACATTGGGCACATATACATTTTTGATAGTCACATCTTCCTGTTGATTCATCACTTAATTAATATAATATGCTTCTTTGTCTCATTTAACAGTTTTTGTCTTAAATGCTATTTTGTCTGATGTTAGGATGGTTATTCCTTCTCATTTTTGCTTTCTGTTAGCATAGGATATTTTTTTCTGTCTTTTCACTTTCAGTCTGTGTGTAGCTTTGTTTATGAAGTGTGTTTCTTTTAGGCAGCAAAAAGATGCATCTTGTTTTCTTAATCCATTCAGCCAGTCCATATCTGGACCATAGCAACCTCTTCTCCTCTTATTAAAAATGGCTACCTGCTGGTTGCCGGGTGCTGCTCCAAGAAGATGGTGTTACCTCCAGCACCTAGCTGCTGAAGTCACTGACAGTGATTGTACTGCCCCCACTGCTCCATGCAACTCTCTCCTTTTTAATAATTTGCATTACAAATTTCTCTTCAAGTGTTCCCTGGAAGTGCTTTACCTCCCCTTTTCTTCAGTTATCTTCCTGTGGTCAGAATCAGTACATAAATTTTCTATTCAGCCATCTTGGATCTCTCCTTCTTTGAAAGACCTTATATGCAATTATAAACTATAGAATTCCTTTACATATTCTGGTTACAAAGCCTTCATTGTGTATCTGATGAGTATTTTCTCCTAGTATGTGACTTACCTATTCATAATAGAGTCTTTTAACCAGTAGGAATTTTCAATTTATGCAAAGGCTATCTTTTTTCTTTGCTTTTCTTTCTGGTTATTGCTTTTTATACTTTTTACATCTTGTTTGTAAAATATTTACTCAGCTTTAAGTCACAGATTTTCTGTAATGTTTTCTTCTAGAGGCTTTGCAGCTTTAGATTTTACTTTGATATCAGTGGTTGCTCATTAATTTTTTTTTTAAATGTACTCTGTCATGTAACTGGGACTTAATATTTTCCAGGATTATATTTGCCACTATTTAATGAAAATATTTTATTATCTTTTTTCCTTGAAATCATGTATGAAGTCTTCTCAATTTGTTTTTTTTTTTTTTAAAGATTTGTTTTATTTACTTGAAAGGCAGAGTTACAGAGAGAGAGAGAGATCTTTCATCTGCTGTTTTACTCCCCAAATGGCCATAATGACCTGGGCTAGGGTATGCTGAAGCCAGGAGTCAGGAGTGGGAGTGGGGGCCCAAACACTTGGTCCATCCTCTACTGCTTTCTCAGGCATAACAGCAGGGAGCTGAATCATAAGTGTAGCAGCCAGGACTGGAACCAGCACCTAAATGGGATGCTGGCACTGCAGGTAGCAGGTTACACTGCTATGCTGCTATTTCCCACAGTGCACATTGGCAAGAAGCTAGAATTGGAAGCAGAATCAGCATTTCAGCTAGTTATTCTAATATGGGATATGTGGGTTCCAAGAGGAATTTTAACAGCTGTGCAAAAAAATGCCCTTTTTTTTTTGTTAATATTTTACACTGGATAGGACCAGTAGAACCATGTTAAAAAGAAATAGAGTCCACATTTTTGTCTTGTTTCATAACAGGAGGAAAGCATTGAATATTTCACTGGTACATATATCAGCTAGAAAATTTTCTTAACACATCTTATTAGATTGTGAAAGTTTCCATATTTATTGTTAGCTTTTGTAACAAATAAGCACTACATTTTATCATATGCTTTTTTCAGCATTTATAGAAATAACCATACTGATTTTGTTCATCTTTTTTCTGTTAATATGGTATATTGTAGTGACTGATTTTTCCATATTAAATTTTTCATTTCTGGATTAAAAACCATATACTCTTGTTGTATTGTCATTTATATGTGTTGCTAGAACGATTTTATAAAGTTTCGTTAAGGAGTTTAACTCTGTCCATGAAGGGCATTCGTATTTTACATGTGTGTTTTTCATGTTTTGCTGTTGGGGCTATGGTTGTTTCATAATATACATTAGGAAGTATTTTTTTTTCCTTCATCTGTTTTCTAAAAGATATCGTGTAAGATGGATGTTTTCTTTTTTCTTTAATGTTTAAATTTACCAGTGAAATCGTCTGTTCTTGAGTGTCTTATGTGGGCTTGTTTTTAAGAACTCAAAGCCTTAAATTAATGAAGGACTATTCATATTTTCTGTTTTATTGTGTGTTAGCTTTCAGTAAGTTTTAATTTTCTAGGAATTGTCATTTCCTTCTGAATTTTTAAAATATATTGGCATAAAACTGTTCTTAATAATCTATTGTCTTTTTAATTCCTGTGGACCGTGTAGTAATAGCATTTCATTCACTCCTGTTAGGGATAATTTTGTTCTCCATTTTGTGTTGATAATGTTAGCTAGGGGTTAGACAATTTGGTTGCTATTTTTAAATAAATATTTTTATCTAAGTTAATGTTCTCTGTTGTTTCTGTTTCTTATTTCCTTGATTTTCCTATTGTCTTAAAACTTTCCTCCTGTCTAATTGCTTTGACTTTATTTTTTCCTTCTTTATTTCGTTCTTTTTCCTATTTTACAGTAGAATTAGAATAATGTCAATTTAATTTTATTTTTTTTCTAATAAAAGCATTTAATGATCTCAGTTTACATTACTTGATTTGAATTTTTCAAACTGATATATTATGATAAATTTTTATAAATATTGAGAGATTTTATAATTTCTTCTAGATCCAAGTGTCATTAGAAGTCATGTTTTCTTACAATTCCAAATAGTTGGTATTTTGCTAAATATCTAAATATCTTAAAGTTATCATTTTGTCATATAATTATGTTTGAATTATTTTTGGCATACTTTTAGGTGAACATTAAAAGTTTAGTAGTGTTACTTATATATATAAGTACAAGCATGAAACAAATTACAATATTATCAATATTACTTTTTGACCCATTTCAGCGGGTCATTGTGGAATTCCAGAACTCATTGTGAATGGTCAAGTCATTGGAGAAAATTATGGATACAGAGACACAGTCGTATATCAGTGTAATCCTGGTTTTCGATTGATTGGTTCTTCAGTGAGAATATGTCAGCAGGATCACAACTGGTCTGGTCAACTCCCATCCTGTGTGCGTAAGTAAGCATGGCAAAAGAAATTAGCAACCTATGGTCTCATGAACTATGATAAGTAATTAATTTTTTCTCAGGAAAGATAAATATATATAAATGATTACAGATAGATAGATGGCAGCATAGACTAAATTTCCACAATCCATTCTTTTATACTATTATGCAATAGCCATTAAAGTGGGGTATGTTCAAAACCATATAAAACTATCCCCTTTGGGCTGCCTCTGAGACGTAGTCAGTAAAGCCGGTGCCTGCAGTGTCATCATACCATATGGGTGCTGGTTCGAGTTTCGGCTGCTCCGCTTCTGATCTCTGTTATGGCATGGGAAAGCAGAGGAAGATGGCCCGAGTCCTTGGGCCCTTGCACCCATGTGGGAGAACTAGAAGAAGCCCCTGGATCCTGACCAGATTGGCGCATCTCTGTTGCAGCCATCTGGGGAGAGATCCAAGAGACAGAAGACCTTCTCTTCTCTTCTCCTCTCCTCTCCTCTCCTCTCCTCTCCTCTC